AAAAAAAAAAAAAAAAAAAAAAAAACAATGGCAGGGAAAGAGTTAATCGCTGATATACAATCATTTAAATGAATTATATTGTTTACTATACTGGTTATTTATCCTTTGTGTTTATGGCTATCTAACTATAGCCAACCATGATCTTGAATACATAAAGCAAATTAGAAACAGAATGGTATTTACTGTCTTTGGTTTATTATATCACTTACACATTGAAAGTTTGAAACCACTGTATAGTTCACCATCCCTGATTGTGATACTCCAGCCAAAAATGATTTTACTCACCCTCATGCCCTCGTCCCAGATGTATATGGCTTTCTTTCTTCAGATGAACACAAAACAAGATTTTTAGAAAAATAATCCATCTTTGTGAGTCCACATAAGGACCTCTAAAGTGAACCACACAAAATGAATATGACAGTAATCCTTTTGACCCAAGTTGATGTAAAAAAGCTAAATGGTAGCTTTGCGTCAGAAAAATACTAATATTTTAAACTTTTTAAACTATAAACCATCACTTCCAGCCATCTGTTATGCATTTTTTTATTTGTGTCAAGTGTACGTGACATCACTGACAGAGGAAGTTATTCTCTGTTTCTACAAGAAGAGCCAAAGGGAATAAAACACTCACTCTTCCAAAGTTGTCTGTGTGTTGTTGATAGTCTGAACTGCCCTAAAGAGGAAAGAAGGATAAAGAAATAAATGTCCATTGAAAATACAAGTTTGAGGTCTCAAAGGTTTGTGGTCTCTGACGCTCACACACTTGTATTATTCGTGTGTGTCTGTGGCCTCACCATGTTGCTGTGATGAGCTTTGGTCATGAGAAGCATGCGGCCCACCAGGTCAGTAGTGGACACTCCCTGAGTCCTCTTACACTCTCTGCAAACATCAACTCTGGTGAGAACCGGACTAAACGTGCACAACACCAACAGCAGCATTAAAGCCAGCTGTGTGACAGGCTTACCTGTACCTACCAGACCTTTTCACTTCTTCATATGTGTCTTTTCCATCCACAGTAAGAGTGATGTCATCTGTGAAGGCAGAACCAAACTTAAGCGTATTCAAATGTGAACTACTGTAAAGTTTCCTAAGGACTTTAGTGGAAAATAATGCATATTTACTCAAGTGCTTCTTATTGTAGGTAGCCCTACATGAAGTGGCATAAAGGCTGATCCCAGCTGGTGTGATTATGTGCCCAAAATATTATGCATGGAGGACCAAAACTAAAGCCATGAACTATTGAAGGGTTATTTCCAGAGGACAATAATGATGGTCTGGAAACCGTCAGCTTTGTTTTTACTCAAATGCAGGACATGCATATGTAATTTGAACAAGTTGTTGACAATGAAATTTACAGTCTCAAAATATTAAACACAAACACTATTAATTTTAAGGGCCCTATTTTAAGGATCGGCACAATGCACTTTTGGCGTTTCCAAATTCAATTTTGCTAGTTTGACGACGGGAAAAATAGTTGGTGCTCCCGGTGCATAGTCTAAAAGGGTCATCCTGACTCTCTTAACGAATAATTGGTGTGTTTTGGGTGTAACATGCAATAAACCAATCACAAAGCACAATCCTCAGTGTAAAATTAACACTGAGAGTGTGAATTATACAAACTCTGAGCAGAGTGAGCAGAGAAAACCGGATATTTTAAGTCACCATTGTGGTGATCAGTATTGTGTTAGTTGGGCTCTTCACCTTTAAATCAATAATTTTAGATTTTTGTTTGGCTTCTGTACCAGCCAGATGAATAAATAGAAATGGGTTTGGTTTGTGTTCTAACATAATCATTAATTGACCTGAATTACTGAACTCATTGAGGGCATTATTTCCATTTATTTATGTTTATCTTATGGGTTTTAGCACCACTGTCCTTGCAGAGCATACAATGAAATCCAAATTAAATCAATGAAATTCAATGAAATCCAAATAGTCAAATCATTTAAGAAATTTGATTTTTTTCTTGCTTGTAGGCACACACAGTCATCCACAATTAGAGTATGATTCTTAGCAATTGTTGACAAACAGATCACCTCTAAATATAAGCTCAGAGGTGATCTATAACACAAATTTATTCATGCAGCAATGCATGATGGGAGCCATGAATGAATTTTGATTGGTGGCACCCAGAATGCACTGCAACATGCTTTATAATTGTCACCATTGTTGAGATTCACAGGCTGATTCTTGATGTCTGTTTAAAAAAAAATGGAATTATTTCTATTACATTGTGAAAGTCAAAAAAAATTATGGTGAACAAGGACAGTGCTGATGTAATTAATTAAGTAAACCTGATTCAGAAATTAGGCTATGAGTTTAGTGATTCACGTAAATGATTGTCAAATAATGACTATGTTAAAACACAACCAACACCATCACCATACCCTGTTCTATTTGTTCATCTGGCTGTTATAACTCAGGTACAGCAGCCAAACAAACTTTGCTGACTTCATCAACACTTTAGCACAGGTTATTTAGCACAGGTTATTATACTTAAACTCTGACCTCCATGAACACAGAAATCACATGTGTATTTGTCCAGAGTCTCGAGTGTGGTCACGTATGGAGCTCCTTCTACGATCTCATCCACCCACTTGATGGCTCGCACCATCTTATATCTCTCCGCCTGAGTGAACACTGGAGGACCTTTGTGCTTAGAGATCTCATCTGCACAGAGAGAGAGAGAGAGAGAGAGAGTTTACATCGTGCAATTCTGAGTATATTTCTAATTATATCATCCAATTCTGACTTTATAACAAAACTGTGAATTTATATCACGAAATCATGACTTTATAATGCACAGTTGCGATTTTATATCATGAAATTATGACTTTATACGCACAATTGCGACTTTACATCACAAAATTAATACTTTATAACGCAGTTGCAATTTTATATCATGAAATTATGAATTTATAACGCACAATTGCGACTTTATATCATGAAATCATGACTTTATAATGCACAGTTGCAACTTTATATCATGCAATTCTAACTTTATAACACAATTGTGACTTTATATCACGCAATTCTGACTTTATAACGCAATTGCGACTTTATATCAGGCAATTCTGACTTTATATCATGCAATTCTAACTTTATAACAGTTGCAACTTTATATCATGAAAATCTGACTTTTAACACAATTTGGACTTTATATCACACAATTCTGACTGTATACCACACAATTGTGACTTTTTATCACAAAATTCTGACACTCCAACATGCAATGAATGTGAGTTTTTATCAGGCAATTCTAATTTTATAACACTCAATTGCGACTTTATATCATGCAATTCTAACTTTATAACACAATTGTGACTTTATATCACGCAATTCTGACTTTATAACGCAATTGCGACTTTATATCAGGCAATTCTGGCTTTATATCATGCAATTCTAACTTTATAACAGTTGCAACTTTATATCATGCAATTCTGACTTTGTAACACAATTGTAACTTTATATCATGCAATTCTGACTTTTAACACAATTTGGACTTTATATCACACAATCCTGACTGTATAACAAAATTGCGACTTTTTATCACGAAATTCTGACATTACAACATGCAATGAATCTGAGTTTTTATCATGCAATTCTAACTTTATAACACTCAATTGCGACTTTATATCACGCAATTCTGACTTTATTACACAATTGCAACTTTATATCATGCAATTCTGACTTTATCACACAATTGCGATTTTTTATCACACAATTATATCATAAAATTCAAATTATGATTATGTCAAAACATAACCAACACCATCTGATCAACTAATCAAAAGAAAATCTAATGTTTACTAATGTTAATAGTCAAGAGCCCAACTAAAGAAAACCAATCACAATAGGGGATTATATAGGGGACACAATAGGGGAAGCTTCCGGGTTTCATGGGCGGGATTTGTCAACTTTGTGCATGTTCACTTCCGTATGAATTCAACAATGCCTGAGACGAATGCTATTTATGTCACTGCTCTGTTCCACTTTGTAAATCTAACCAACAACGCCAACCCTACTTATGTTTTCATGGATTCCCGACTGTATTGAGTATAAGGAAGAAATTGATTAAAACTTTAAAATAAAACAAGGTAGCACGTTTGTTTGCAGCCGGCACTTTAGTGAATCAGACTAATTTACCAGGCATGCCGTATAAATAAACTTTGTGTAGTCCTTCATCAGTTCGCCAGCGAGATCGGTGATTCAACGGAAGTGGCAGTGCAACAAAGATCACAGAATCCGGAAGTACTACGTATCATTTAACTGTAACACACTTAACACTGGTGTTTTTGCTTTGTACCACAACCTTTAAAAGAAAGGGTACATTCTTTTAATGCTTCGGAACATATATGTATCTTGAGGTCCAATAATAAGCCATATGTGGTATATTAGTGTAGATTGTACCTTAGGGGACAAACATTGACTTCTACTTTACCCCTTTTTCTGACAGTGTAGGATACATCCTTAAATATAGGCCTAAAGGTTCTTTATTAATGGTTCCATGGAGAACCTTTAACATCCATGGAACCTTTCCGTCTCTTAAAAGGATTTTAAGATTTTTTAAATGTTCTTTACACTAAGAGAAAAAAAATTTCTTTTAAGAACTGTTCTTAAAAGAACATTTTTGGTTCCCCAAAAAGAACCTTTCAGAGGAAAGGCTCTTTTTGGGGAACCAAAAATGGTTCTTCTGTGGCATCCCTGCAAAAACCCAATTTTTTTAACTTTTATTTTGAGCCAAGACAATGCTGTTATGCTATAATGTGTATATTTTTAATTTAAGTCATGAAATTAAAACTTAATTCACACACAAGTCTGCTTAAGTAATATTAAAACATTGAGAACTAAATTGTGTCAGCAAATAATCAGAGTTTATTTATCAAACAAAGAACAAATGGGGTTATTGGTTTTCAGATTGAAAACTAAAAGTCTAAAACTAAAAGTCTTAAACGAAAACTAAAAGTCTAAATGTGAAACTAAAACAAAGCACGACTATCAATATGTCAGTCATAATTATGACATAATGTCAGTCAAGCATCACTGTGTTAAGTGTGTGTGTGTGTCCTCACCGTCAGTGTGCACTCCAACAATGAGGTAGTCCCCCATAGCCTTGGCTTGTCGAAGTTGGTTGGAATGACCATAATGGACCATGTCATAGCTAAGAAGAAGGGAAGATGAATGAAGACAGATGTTAAGGAGGCTAGAAAGATGGTAGCATTTGACCCAAGCCAAACACTCTGTTGATATAGGTCATCTTGGGTGTGTGGAAAGATTATGATTAAAATCATTTTGATATCCACAAATAAATAGTTTAAAGTAGAAAGCAAATGAAAAATCAAATCTACATCTCTATCTACAGAGGTGTAAAGTCCAGGTTTAGAAAGTAAAAGTCTTAAGAGCTCATGGTGAGATCACTGTGAGAACAAATTTGTTGGACAAAGGACTTATTGATAGTCCGTCTGTGCTTTGCCTATTTATTATTTTGAAGCCATTGGAAGTGATGTGAGAAGTAAATGTAAGTGATGAAAGAGAAGTAAAATAAGATTGTTAGTATATACTATGTGTTGATGTGAACAACTGCCAACGTTGGCCTGGCTCTGCTGTATCTTCAGTATCACAGCAGCACTGGCCATGAGCATCAAATATTTACTACTGAAACAGGTTTGCCATTTTCCGGCACCCAAACTGCAACTGAGCTCTGCGTGTTTGACTAGGATGCCATCACACCAGCAGAGTGTGCAAGCTCTATGAATTTGATGTATTTTTTTTTTTTACAGTATTATAGTAATGGGAGTCTAATAAGGATCATCAAGTGCAAAATTCAGATTATGGTAATGTAAAGGGGGGCGGGGGGTGATGTTTTCGTGTTCAAAAAATTTTAATCTCAAATGTCTTAAAATACATTTTAAGCTTGTCTTAAGTTTGGAGATGTTTTAATGTACTATCTGAGATTCTCAGCAGAGCACATGCTAGCACTGATGAAAGATTTTGTGATTGATTGACCATCGTCAGCTGACCATGTCATGTGGTGAATGCACATTACGACATGCTTGCTTATTCTTTAGAGGTCAATCAAACCCATTGACACTGCTGTTAAAAGCAGTGGTGTAGTGCAGGGTATATGCAGTCAGCATTGTGTATACCCACTTCCAAATCCCCTCTGATGCGCATCATTTAGTTGCTAATCCAATCTCGTGAATAAAAAACACCCAGTTAGGGTCGTACCCCTTATATTAACTCTTATTTTTTGCTGCAATGATTCTCCCATCGTGACGATAACTGAATTTCTCAGCACTCAATTACAACACAAGCACCCTATTAAATATACAGCCATTATTATTGTATATATATATATATATATGAATGTGTTCGACTTCTCAACGTGCCCCCCAACCCCCCTAGCAATTTAACTGATGGACCTAGGTATTAAGAAAACCCTATGTACGGCCCTGATATGCAAGAATATAGTGATTATTTATGTTCCATTGTATTCATCATATTCAATAGTCTTGCATTCAATACTTACATGTCACTGTTTATAACACAGAACATCCTTTGCTGGGACGCTTAAAAAAATATTGGGGGCATAAATTAAGAGTATACCCACTTCTCCAGGCACCACTACATCACTGGTTAAAAGATAACCAGACTACCCTTTGTTTTACTTAATCACATAACATGCTATTTATAGTTGTCTTCCTGAAGGGTTTGTCTGCCCATCCACTGTCTTTGTGCTGACTAAGTGCTGACCATTGCTCAACAACAGGGGCTTAATGTGTTCTTGATCGTCAAATATTATGTGAGCTCTCTGCCCTGGTATGGCAGAGAGGGGTTAAATGACATTTTACTATGGAGTTCAAGCAGACATCCTGACAATTCAGGGTTGGTGATGCACTTTTTTTATTGTAAAAAGTGCTTTATAAAAAAATTTGACAACTTGACTAATTCTTTGCTTACAATAACATTTACATCACAATCACATCTGGCACTTGTGGAATACTGATCTGGCCCACAGCGTTGAATGACGGCCCTTGGGCTCCTGTTTGCCAGATCTGGGCCACAAGTAGGCCATAGCAATGCCATATGTCAGCCAAAGCAAAGAAATAAACCAGAACTGGAACTTTTCTGATCCACAAAACGTGTGTATATTAAATATGGAGTCATCTCAGCCTCAATAAGCCTGTTAACAAGCAGAATCACTGAATTCATCATGAAATAACCCGATTTTCTGATTTCATTAAAATCGAACAATTTTCTGTAAAAATTTCATTAAAATCTCAACAATTTTTTTGAACTATAAAAACATGTATCCTGTATACCTGCAGTTCTGCAGCAAAAAGATTCACAACATTGAGCACAACAAATTAGTCTATAGTGAAACACACAGACAATCGGTGTATGAATCTCAACAATCAACAAAATAATCAGATAATCAGATCAACTCTAGACATCAGAAAAAAGCTACTAAATGTCTCAACAAAAACAACAGCATTTAGTGTTAAACAAAATATTGGACAATAATAGGACAATTCAGCTGCATAATTTATTGATGATGCTTCATGGCACTTTTGACTGTCACCATTGTTTAGATTCATACACTGATTGTTGATGTCTGTGTGTTTCACCGTAGACTAATTCGTTGTACTTGTTGTCAAAATCTTATTGCTGTTTGTGGAGTTGTGTAATTTTAAGGCTGCTGCTGGAATCAGTTGTAGTTCTTTTGTTTCTGCTCATCTCTTTTTCTGTTCTCTTCTTTCCTTCAGTGATTCTACTTGTTAACAGGCTTTTTAAGGCTGAGATGTCTCCATATATAATATACAGAAATTTTGTGGCTCTGATAAGGTCCAGTTCTAGTTTATTTCTTTGCTCATGGCTGACATGTGGCATTGCTATGGCCTGCTTGTGGTTCAGATCTGGCAAACAGAAGAGGTCCGCCCAAGGGTTATCATTCCACACTGCTTCTGGGCCAGATCAGTATTCCACAAGTGCCAGATGTGGGCCGGATCTGGGCCGAAACAGTGTTGCTCTGTGAGAAGTCACGATAAATGAGCTCAAAGACAAGAGTTAAAAAAAAACAAGCTAAAACGCATGGTTACGATTGCATTTTTATTTCACATTTGCTTTTGTTAACATTATCGGGTAGGTTTAGGCTTAAGTGTAGTGTAAGTGTATGTTATTTTAAAATAGTGCATTACGATAGCACCATTTGCTGCAAATTTTAGCTCAGACCTCAACATTTATGGACTCACATGCAAGCTTCATTGAGGATTCAGAGTACATTGTAAAAAAAAAAACGCTTGCAGCGTTTATTTCTTCAGACAACTTGGTGGCCTTGGAGTTAGTCAGCATATTTTAGAATTTGTGTACAAATCTAGTATAGAGTGTATTAACAGGCCTGGTATGATCCCTTAAACTGCAGATCTAAGAACAAACTCAGCTCTAAAAGGGGAGGTCAGGATTATTCTTGCTGATATTTATCACTCTCTTTACTCAGTTTGAGTCCTTGAAATCAGGTAGCCGCTATGAATCCCTCTAGCAAATGAAAATGCGTTTTATTCCAAATGCTATTAAACTTCTCAACTCCGCAAGTGATTGATAAACGACAGTGGCAGGAACTGTATTTTCAATATCTATGTAATGTGAATCTGTCTGTGCTTTTTGTTCTGGGTTTTTACCTTTTTTTCGACACTACTGCCTGTATAGTTACTTGATGTGGTGAGCCAAAGACAACTTTCCACCTCAGTGGACAATAAAGAAATACAATACAATGTATTATATACAATACAATAAATGGTTAGATTTTTTAAAATGGTTATCATTATCACAAAACACCATATGATTTTCCATTCACTGCACGCTTTGTTTCTTTAGCAGAGCATTGCATGTACTTATGCTCTCATCTCCTGATTTATCAGTCTTGTAATTTGGTTACTCCGTGTTACTCAGTTACTCCACTGGATCACTTTCCTCGCCTGAACACCCGGACATCGAGACTGTCCATCTCGTTGTTGACCCCTGGCTTCATCTCGGGTTCTGGCTCTCAGATTTCTGGTCTGTCTGAGGATACGATCTCCATTCTCCAGGCTTCAACACATACCTTACAGAAGATCTGCTCCCAGATTTAACCAACCTGGTATATGCCATCGCTATCTCATGACCAATTCATAGGAATTTGTACGATTTGTCTAAACACACGTGATGGGTAGGTTTATCATTCATACGAATTCATATGAATTTGGCAACTCGTGAAATATGTACGAATTAGCAAAAATTGTACGGATTTGTATGAGTGAGGTCATATGATAAATCTATCATAGCAAACAAGTCTCCATGGTCGAATCTGAGTAATAATGGTGTAAATTACCGTCATCGTGAAAACACCTAATGTAAAAACCTAATTCTCTTTTTGAAGGAGGCACTTCTATGAATCTATTCTCTAACAGCGAAAGCACTTGCTGCCATGAAACCGGAGTGTCGTGAAAGCAAAGTGATAGAATCACTACAAGTGTGTCGACCTAAGTCTTTGTGAATACTTCACTTTTCTGCTACCACATCACAGAAAGCATCTAACAGAAAGCCCTTCTCCTCATTGATTTTTGAGGTTCAGCCACAGATATTTCCCGGTCACCACTAACAGGGAGACTTCAGATTTCAGGTCTTTATGAGCTGCATCTTGAAAATCAAATACATGCTATTTGCTATATTAAAGAAAGTTAGTTGTGTGGGTTATTTATGTTGGGTTATTAAGTTAGTAATAACCATTAGTACTGTTAAAGGAGTAGTTCACTTCCAAATTGAAATTTCCTGATCATTTACTCACCCCCATGTCATCCAAGATGTGCATGTCTTTCTTTCTTCAGTCGAAAATAAGTTAAGGTTTTTAAGGAAAATGTTCCAAGATTTTCGCCATATAGTGACTTCAATGGGGTCCAACGGTTTGAAGGTCCAAATGTACATAATTGGGTTGCACAGCAAAAACTACAGTGTTAAATAAACTCTCCTGGGAGAGACTCAAGATTTTCTCAAGGGTGTTAAAGTTAATGAGCTAATTGAGTTAGTGATTGAGCATTATTGAAGACACCTGATGTTAAGAAGCAGAATCACTGAAGGAGAAAAAGCACTATTTTAAAGTCACCATTGTGGTGATCAGTGTTAGCTTTAGTTGGGCTCTTAACCTTTACATTTAAATCTTTTGATTGAATGTTGTAACTGAATGGTGAACAGCCAGATGAACAAAGAGACAAGGTGATATGATGGTGTTGGTTGTGTTTTAACATAATCATCATTTGACCTGAATCACTAAACTCATTTAGAGCCTAATCTCCGACTTATTATATTTTATAAAATGGTGGATGGTTTGTCTAGATCAGACTCTTATTCCTCAGCTGGGACCATGTTGAGACTTTGAAGCTGCACTGAAACTCACATTTGGACCTTCGACCCGTTGGACCCCATTGAAGTCTCTAAAAGGAGAAAAAGCCTGGAACGTTTTCCTCAAAAGCAATAAATTCTTTTTGACTGAAGTGAAGAAAGAAAGACATGAACTTCCTGGGTGAGTTAATTATCAGGAAATTTCAATTCAGAAGTGTACTCCTCTAATAAAGGTCCCTATCAATACATTCTACATAGTGTTTTTCGTTTCCATTGAATAGATGCAGTGATTTTTTCAGCTACGCTCCAGAATGGCGGTGTTTAAAAATGAAATATCGTACACTAAATTTAAGTCTGTGTATACCAGAGGAACCGGTATTCTGTAAGTTACCTTCATTTATATAGCGCTTTAATATGCACAGTTTCAAAGCAGCTTTACAGTGATAATAGGAGATTACAGTAACAAATATTGTTTGGGCTTTACAGCAGCTCAAGTTATTGTCCAGCTAAAGTTAGTTTTGATTGATTCACTTCCGCCGCAAAGATCATTAATGATCTTTAGGGGCCGGTTACACGACACCATAACACTTTTACTGTGTTCTGGCCGTTTATTTACATGACAACAGTGTTTGGGGCTCGAGAACGCAAACCTAGAAACAGGTTCCAAGGCGCAAGTTTTGATTGTTTGTTAAAACATTATCATCTCCGTGTAAAGTAAACTTCAAAGACGTGATTCTGTGAAAACGGCGATACCAACTGGTAAACCAGCACAAATCTGTGTTTTTCAAGACTTCAACTTGGTATACCTGCATGTCCACCATTTTCACATATTATAGCCATTTAGGACTTTAGGACCTCCATGATGAGACAAAGATGGAGATGGAGACTGTGAAGTCAGAGATAGCTGGGTTAGTGATGATGTGTGGTGAAAAAAAGGACCATGAGATCTCCTGGTGTTGATCCTGGAAAAGTGTAGTGGTCTATGAGGTGGTCTATGAGGAGAGAATCTCACTCTTCATAGCCTCAAGCTCATCCAATCCCCAAGAACCTGCAGCTCAGAAATCGCAGAACACAAGCCACAAGGAATGAACAATCTTACTTCTTTTCTCTAAAGGTCTCGAGTGAAGCCCTTTCATTTTAAACTCATCACAGTGTGTGCAGTTTAACAAGCGCTCACAGCTTGAGCTTGACCAAAGCCCAAACAATGCATTTACCATGAGGGGCTTTGCTCACAAGGAAACGGGGACATGGGGGAACACACTTTTGAAAAATGGGATCATTTTTTGCATATCCGATTGGGATTCGATGATATTTAGCAAAAAATTACATGAAATGCGATTTTTACAAATCCATTTTGAGCCACATTCATAAGGGGTTTAAAATCCTGCATTTCTTGGAAATCTGTTTCAGTCTGACCACTCTGATCGAATTTCACATGGTTTAATGTCACTTTCTCACGCCTATAAAATGTAAACATCTCATGCTGTTAAAGGAAACATGCTTTAAAGGCCCCTGAAATCAGAATGTAAGTTTTTTAGCTTTAGTATGAATATGTTATCCCTAAGGTTATGAATAAGCTGATTTGCTTCAAAACAATGACAAAATCCGCATTTAGGTTTGAATATGCATTCAAAACGTCTCTCACTTCCGCTAAAATAGATCAGGGATTTTTATGACATCAGCTTCTCATAACATCTTCTGTCCAATCAATAATCTGCTCTCTATAATCTGAAGCTCCACCCCCTCTGCTATAAACACCCCGTGGCCGAAGCGTTTACACACAGTGTAATTAGGGGTTGGTGTGTGCTTAATTGCTCAAATGCTCCAGTTTTAATCAATTAAGATGTTTAAGAATGAAATGGCTAGAATTTATTCACTTCTACTATTGAATCCAGCGAAGCATCAGCGCTCGGATTCGCTTCCATGGTGCCATCAAGTACGACTGCACTGCAGTGTGTGAGGGAAACTAAACAATATTGGTTGTTTGTAAAGGGGGAGGAGCCATTCAATATGATCTAAACAATAATGGGAATTACAAAACTGCGCTTTCTAAGGCACTTCAGTGGGACTTAAAAAGGAGAGTTCACCCAAAAATAAATTTGGCTACAAACTTTCTTCAACATATTATCTTTTGTTTGAGGCAATGAATGGTGATTTCACATGGGCTTTAAACAATCGTCACACCTGGAAGGTGCTTTAGTTACTGACGCAGCGCCGCAGAGAAACAGCATCATGAGGCGAATATCTGTCTGACTGTGACATTCTCCAATTATGCAGTGAAGGGATTTATGGGAAAAACAGTCAGGTGTGTGTGCGTGTGTGTGTATGGGTCTGAGTTTACACTGCCTCTCATTGGTGGTTCAATCCACTGTCTAATATTCTGGCATCCCAAACATTCGGCAACATTCGGGGGGAAAAACCATCACACAGGCAGACAGAAATGGCTGGAATTCTAGAAGAGAAAGGCTCAATAATCCTGTTCATCATGCATTGCACATGAATCCAAACACCTCTTTTCAGCCACACACACTCTCACGGTTTGATTAATCAGACGCAGCCTGCTTTTAGAAAGAAATCATACACTAATATCTCAACTTAAGACACCCAAACCAAAAAGCATGTTAGATAGCGAGCTCATTACACGTGTGTGTGTTATAGAACAAGTAAATCACATGTGTTAGTGTGCATATGTGAGAAATGGCTAGTGTTTTTCAGTGTGACTTATTTTCAATATAATCACATCTATTATATCTATATATCTGATATCTATTGTTTTTGCTGTTATTGATATAAAGCAGTTATTGTTATTAAAACAAATATGCTAATTTTCTTCTCACTGTATTGGTCTGTAGGCATGAGTTTGATTTCAGAGGAGAGCAACCACCATAAAGTCAGCAGAGATTTAGTTCACATAAAATTAAATGTCATGTTGTTTTTTTAATCAACCTTAATAGCATTTGTATATTTAACTGCATGAATATAGCCTACTCTATAGGGATAAGTAATAGTAATAGTCTATTAGGAGTAATAGTATATTATTAATAGTAATAGTATATTAGGAGTATTTTAAGAATATATAAGGGATTTAAATATATCTGCCACCATATCGATATCAGCCGAATATGTTTTTAATGTAATCATTATCGGCCCAATAAGAATATTTGCTCGATATTTTAAAGCCGATAAATAATGTTATTTCCTTCAGCTGAGACACTTCAGATTACAATCACTTCAAAAAAAGTAGAATACAGTAAAATTACAACATGTGCAAGTCTGTCAAATAGGCTGCATAAAATTATCACGAGAATCATTATAATTGTGTGATTGGGACATGGATTTTAATGGTCAGACTTTTGTTATAGTAATCAGGGCATCAGGCTGTCAAAAATTATATTAAAATTTGGATTTAGATTTATCGGCCAATATATCGGTTACCGGCTTTCAAATATAAAGAACTTCAATTTTCATGTCAGTGCATCCCTGATTATTTATTAGTGTGATTAAAATGTATTATTTCATAATTATTTTGTTATTAGTAGAATAAATGTTAGTAGCAATGCTATAGTAGAAATATAAATGGAAACTTATTGAGCATTCAATGTTTAAAGACTTTATATGTGTTGCAGTGTGGCTGTCAAATCAACAGTCCGGTCACATTCTCTAATTTCAGTGTGATCTCTTCACCGTGGGCTCTGGTGTTTCTCCAGCAGAATCATATATATGTATGATGCCAGTATATCAGATATGCGTGCCAGTATATCGCAGAATAGCACTCACCATCCATCGCACCACACGCGCACCGCGCGCCTCCTCTTCTCCGGACTGATCACATGATGCCCGTTCTTCATCATCTCATAAAGCCCTGTTCGCAAGCACTAATTAACAGCTAACACACAGATGGAACTCTATAGGTATTCAGTGCGTAGTACAGGAGCGGGAACCCTCCAGGATAGCCGGCTTCTGCATTAGATGACGGTGACGCTGTAATAAGGGACAACGCCTCCTCGACCGGCCAGCAGAATTACGCATCGCACTACTGTGAAGGCTTTCTCATGAATATTAGCCATCTGAGGTGACGTTTGCCATAATTAATTTGCGAGAGGCTAAGAGGCGTTTGCGATTGACCGAATCCTGCTAATCATGGCGAGGCTTATGAATATTAATTTGCGTGCTGCATGCAACGTCAGCACGACTACATGGTATATCCATGTCCATTGCCTTTGCAATAGTAGGGTTTGTGAGTTCGCTTCTTGGGAAGTGGCGTCATATGGCACGGACTCGTACGATCAGCGACATTATACTCTTACATAATCCCAGCTCTCGTGTCATGTGACCCGTTGAAATCCATACTGGCGGACTACCTCTGCGTCTGGGACACGCGCGTCTCGCTTACCATACAGGATGAAGAACAGTGCACGAGCAGACGCGAGCCCTACTGTTTTTCAATAATAATGATTTTATTATTATATACATTTTTGTGCACTTTTGCTGGCCTTAACATGCTCAAAACATGTTCTTGAAATGTACACACATATTCTGCTATGCTTCTGATCTGTTTACATCACCATTTTTTTAAAGGTGCTGTATGTAAGTTTCTGACTGTACTATTAAAATACCATGATATGTTTGCAGATATTGAGGAAACATTCTGAGTTTAAAAACACAGCACAGATGTGGCGTAATGACCCAATAAAGCCTACTAGCCGAGACTCCTTCTTTATGTGTACAGATGTGGCGTAATGACTCAAAATAGTCTACTAGCCGAGACTCTTCTTTAAGTGTACAGATGTGACGTAATAACTCAATATAGCCTACTAGCCGAGACTCTTCTTTATGTGTACAGATGTGGCGTAATGACTCAAAATAGCCTACTAGCCGAGACTCTTCTTTATGTGTACAGATGTGGCGTAATGACTCAATATAGTCTACTTGCCGAGACTCTTCTTTATGTGTACAGATGTGGCGTAATGACTCAATATAGCCTACAAGCCAAGACGCTTCTTTATGTGTACAGATGTGACGTAATGACTCAATATAGCCTACTAGCCGAGACTCTTCTTTATGTGTAATGACTCAATATAGTCTACTAGCCGAGACTCTTCTTTATGTGTACAGATGTGACGTAACGACTCAATATAGTCTACTAGCCGAGTCTCTTCTTTATGTGTAGAGATGTGACGTAATAACTCAATATAGTCTACTAGCCGAGACTCTTCTTCATGTGTACAGATGTGACGTAATAACTCAATATAGCCTACTAGCCGAGACTCTTCTTTATGTGTACAGATGTGACGTAATAACTCAATATAGCCTACTAGCCGAGACTCTTCTTTATGTGTACAGATGTGGCGTAATGACGCAATATAGCCTACTAGCCGAGAGTAGGCTAGCTTACTATGTGTACAGATGTGGCGGAATGACTCAATATAGCCTACTAGCCGAGACTCTTCTTTATGTGTACAGATGTGGCGTAATGACTCAATATAGCCTACAAGCCAAGACGCTTCTTTATGTGTACAGATGTGACGTAATGACTCAATATAGCCTACTAGCCGAGACTCTTCTTTATGTGTAATGACTCAATATAGTCTACTAGCCGAGACTCTTCTTTATGTGTACAGATGTGACGTAACGACTCAATATAGTCTACTAGCCGAGTCTCTTCTTTATGTGTAGAGATGTGACGTAATAACTCAATATAGTCTACTAGCCGAGACTCTTCTTCATGTGTACAGATGTGACGTAATAACTCAATATAGCCTACTAGCCGAGACTCTTCTTTATGTGTACAGATGTGACGTAATAACTCAATATAGCCTACTAGCCGAGACTCTTCTTTATGTGTACAGATGTGGCGTAATGACGCAATATAGCCTACTAGCCGAGAGTAGGCTATATAGCTTACTATGTGTACAGATGTGGCGGAATGACTCAATATAGCCTACTAGCCGAGACTCTTCTTTATGTGTACAGATGTGGCGTAATGACTCAATATAGCCTACTAGCCGAGACTCTTCTTTATGTGTACAGATGTGGCGGAATGACTCAATATGGCCTACTAGCCGAGACTCTTCTTTATGTGTACAGATGTGGCGTAATGACTCAATATAGCCTACTAGCCGAGACTCTTCTTTATGTGTACAGATGTGGCGGAATGACTCAATATGGCCTACTAGCCGAGACTCTTCTTTATGTGTACAGATGTGGCGTAATGACGCAATATAGCCTACTAGCCGAGAGTAGGCTATATAGCTTACTATGTGTACAGATGTGGCGGAATGACTCAATATAGCCAACTTGCCGAGACTCTTCTTTATGTGTACAGATGTGACGTAATGACTCAATATAGTCTACTAGCCGAGACTCTTTATGTGTACATATGTGGCGTAATGACTCAATATAGTCTACTAGCCGAGACTCTTCTTTACGTGTACAGATGTGGCGTAATGACTCAATATAGTTTACTTGCCGAGACTCTTCTTTATGTGTACAGATGTGGCGGAATACTAGCCTACTAGCCGAGGCGTAATGACTCAATATAGCCTACTAGCCGAGACTCTTCTTTATGTGTACAGATGTGGCGGAATGACGCAATATAGCCTACTAGCCGAGACTCTTCTTTATGTGTACAGATGTGGCGTAATGACACAATATAGCCTACTAGCCGAGAGTAGGCAATTTAGCCTACTATGTGTACAGATGTGGCGGAATGACTCAATATAGCCTACTAGCCGAGACTCTTCTTTATGTGTACAGATGTGGCGGAATGACTCAATATAGCCTACTAGCCGAGACTCTTCTTTATGTGTACAGATGTGGTGTAATGACGCAATATAGCCTACTAGCCGAGACTCTTCTTTATGTGTACAGATGTGGCGTAATGACTCAATATAGCCTACTAGCCGAGACTCTTCTTTATGTGTACAGATGTGGCGTAATGACTCAATATAGCCTACTAGCCGAGACTCTTCTTTATGTGTACAGATGTGGTGTAATGACTCAATATAGCCTACTAGCCGAGACTCTTCTTTATGTGTACAGATGTGGCGGAATGACTCAATATAGTCTACTAGCCGAGACTCTTCTTTATGTGTACAGATGTGGCGGAATGACGCAATATAGCCTACTAGCCGAGACTCTTCTTTATGTGTACAGATGTGGCGTAATGACGCAATATAGCCTACTAGCCGAGAGTAGGCAATTTAGCCTACTATGTGTACAGATGTGGCGGAATGACTCAATATAGCCTACTAGCCGAGACTCTTCTTTATGTGTACAGATGTGGCGTAATGACTCAATATAGCCTACTAGCCGAGACTCTTCTTTATGTGTACAGATGTGACGTAATGACTCAATATAGCCAACTTGCCGAGACTCTTCTTTATGTGTACAGATGTGGCGTAATGACTCAATATAAGCCTACTAGCCGAGACTCTTCTTTATGTGTACAGATGTGGCGTAATGACGCAATATAGTCTACTAGCCGAGACTCTTCTTTATGTGTACAGATGTGGCGTAATGACTCAATATAGTCTACTAGCCGAGACTCTTCTTTATGTGTACAGATGTGGCGTAATGACTCAATATAGCCTACTAGCCGAGACTCTTCTTTATGTGTACAGATGTGGCGTAATGACGCAATATAGTCTACTAGCCGAGACTCTTCTTTATGTGTACAGATGTGACGTAATAACTCAATATAGTCTACTAGCCGAGACTCTTCTTTATGTGTACAGATGTGGCGTAATGACTCAATATAGTCTACTTGCCGAGACTCTTCTTTATGTGTACAGATGTGGCGTAATGACTTACAAGCCGACTTGTAAAATAGCTTACAAGCCGAGACGCTTCTTTATGTGTACAGTACAGATGTGACGTAATGACTCAATATAGCCTACTAGCCGAGACTCTTCTTTATGTGTACAGATGTGGCGTAATGACTCAATATAGCCTACTAGCCGAGAGTAGGCAATTTAGCCTACTACGTGTACAGATGTGGCGTAATGACTCAATATAGCCTACTAGCCAAGACTCTTCTTTATGTGTACAGATGTGGCGTAATGACTCAATATAGCCTACTAGCCGAGACTCTTCTTTATGTGTACAGATGTGGCGTAATGACTCAATATAGCCAACTTGCCGAGACTCTTCTTTATGTGTACATATGTGGCGTAATGACTCAATATAGTCTACTAGCCGAGACTCTTCTTTATGTGTACAGATGTGACGTAATGACTCAATATAGTCTACTAGCCGAGACTCTTCTTTATGTGTACATATGTGGCGTAATGACTCAATATAGTCTACTAGCCGAGACTCTTCTTTATGTGTACATATGTGGCGTAATGACGCAATATAGTCTACTAGCCGAGACTCTTCTTTATGTGTACAGATGTGACGTAATGACTCAATATAGTCTACTAGCCGAGACTCTTCTTTATGTGTCCAGATGTGGCGTAATGACTCAATATAGTCTACTAGCCGAGACTCTTCTTTATGTGTACAGATGTAGCGTAATGACTCAATATAGTCTACTAGCCGAGACTCTTCTTTATGTGTACAGATGTGACGTAATGACTCAATAGTCTACTTGCCGAGACTCTTCTTTATGTGTACAGATGTGACGTAATAACTCAATATAGTCTACCAGCCGAAACTCTTCTTTATGTGTACAGATGTGGCGTAATAACTCAATATAGCCTACTAGCCGAAACTCTTCTTTATGTGTACAGATGTGATGTAATGACTCAATAGATACATATAAAATGCAGTTAGCTTCTGCGTACGGATATAAAATGCATGGGATAAAATGTGGTTAATTGTGGATAATTTGACGCACTTCTGTGTCACAGTGTCTGTTATCAGGGAATTCTGTTCATGTGTGTCCAGATATTTTAGAAATATCGACCTGCTGATGCTTTACGACCATGTAAGGATAAAGAGTAGCTATATAGGTTGATGGTAAACCTACCCAGATAGCAAACTGACATTGAATCAACGTGGAAATATGACATCGAAACAACGTTGATCTGACATTGTTTTGCTCATCGAATTAACGTTGAACCAACGTCAGACGCGTCATTCTTTCAAAACTAACGGAAAATCAACTTGAAATCAACGCGTTGTTTCAACGTTATGAAAGCAAACCAATTTTCGATTTTCATTTAGCTTTGAAGAATAATGTCTGACGTTGGTTCAACGTTAATTCGATGAGCAAAATCAACGTTGTTTCAATGTCATGAGAGACGTCGTTTTCACGTTGATTCAATGTCAGTTTGCTATCTGGGTATATAGCTATG